CAGCCAGCGGCGTAACCGCAGGGCACCCCTCGGCCGTGCCTGGTACCCACCTGCGTCTCCATCCATGACAGGACGCGTTTGGGGTTCAGAGCTCATCCCAGCAGGGCTTGGGGTCACCCTGCTGAGCCCCGGGTGAGCGGGCAGGCAGATGTTGCCCCATCGTAAGCAGCTGCCGCTTCCTGCCCTGCCTCGGTGGGACCGGTTCTCACCCCAGCACTGACCTGCGCAACCCCTGGGCAGCCCCAGCTGGCGCCAGGGGACAAGAAAAGCCAGAATATCCTCTGTCATTGTGAGGAGGGGGACAAAGAGCCACGGCCTCCCCGCAGGCACTGACCCCACTGACACGTCCCTGCTCTCCTGGGACGGTCACCTCCTGGTGTCCCCAGCCCTGGACAAGGGGTCCCATCCACCTTCTCAAAATTAAAGCCCAAGCCTGTGCTGGGCTGGCCATGGGCAGTGGACAGGAACAAGCACCTGAGGGAAGGAGGAGCAAACACAAGCGAGTGGTCCCCAAAAATCAATGCTGGGGCGTGCCAGAGGCTGCTGCAGGGATGGGGACAGACAGGGATCCCGTCACTGCCTGGTGTAGGGCCCTACACCAGTGAGCAGCAAGCGCGCAGCCCTCCCCGTGCCCTTGTCCAGATCGTTTCCAGTTGCACCTGGTCCCAGCTGGTGTCACGCCCAGGATTTACTTCTCCTCTCTTCCCCTGCCACTGCATGAAACACCACCACCACTGGATTAAATAACATCCCCGCTGCCTCCACTTGCTCCGGCCGCTTTTCCATCCCCTTACCTGGATTTGCCCTGGCAACAGTGGTGTGGGGGCAAGGAGCAGTCCCACCCCCTCTCCACAAGGCACCTCTCTTAATTCCAGTTTTCCCCCGTTTTTTGGGGGTGGTGTTTCAAGGAGTTTCCAGCTGGAAGAGGACCACAGCAAGCAAGATGTGGCAGCTCAGTGAAGGGATGGTCGCAGCCTCGGGATGCCATTTAAACAAGCTGGGGAGCCACGATGCCCCATGTCCTGCACCCCATAGGCTGCAAACCACTCCCAGGAGGCTCCACCATGACATCTACCCACCCCGTCCCCCATTTCCCTACCTGGAAGCGGCCAGAGCGCATCCCTCCGAGGTTTGGAGGTACAAACGAGGCACTCGCGCTGAAAACGGCAACTGCCAGGGAAGGACGCGCTGGAGCTGGGGATCCCGAGGGGTTTAGTGAGGAGTCAGAGCCGGTCGGAGGGGAGGGTGACAGCACCACGGTGTCACACCCTGTCTGGGCGAGGGCTTGGTCCCACGAGACACTTGTTGGCCAAGTGTGGAGTCAGGCACCTTTATCACAGGGAAGAGCTGTCATTAGCACCGGCGGAAGAGGAGGAACCGGTGACCATCAGGGTGGCTTGACCGGTTCGTGGTCACCCAGCTGGACAGGAAGGCAGCGACACTTCTGCCTGCGGCCGGCTCTTCCTGCCGGTCCCACCGCCCGGCCCTCGTCGGTGCCCGGCAGTGGGTGTCCAGCGGCTCCGGTGGGGATGGGAAGGCCCATGCAGGGTCTCCTGCCCCTGGTGGAAGCCTGGCTCTGGGTGCAGCCCCCGGAGCTCCCAAGTGGTGGAACCTCCTGCTTTTCTGAGATGTGAGGTCAAGGGAGATGGGAGGAAGAAACAAGGAAATAAAAAAAAGAGGGGGAAAAAAGGGAAGAAAAAGAAGGAAGACAAAACCCTACCAACCCCCCTGAGGAAAAATAAAAAGGAAAAAGGAGGGGGAAAGAGGGAAAATGAAAAAAGAAAGAAGAGGAAATGAAAAAAGAGAAAAGAGGAGGAAAAAGGGAAAAGATAAGGAAAAGGAGAAAAGAAGGAAAAGGAGAAAAGAGAAAGAAAAAGACAGAAAATTAAAAAGAGAAGGAAAAAAGAAGAGGAAAAGAGAAAGAAAGGAAAAGAAAGGCAGGTTGTTATCGACAGTTCCCCATCTGTGCTCGCTCACTGCTGGGGGTTCCAACCTCCCGGGGCTGGCAGCGAGTTCCTGGCCATGCCTGTGTCCCCACAGCAGGGCCATGGGGTGGCACAGTCGTCACCTGGGCAAGACGGTGTCCAAAAGATCCCAGGAAGTGACTGAGTCAAGGGCATCCCCACAAAACCCCCATGAAACAACCAGTCTTCATCATGGTCCCCATGATAAAAGCCCCACAAGATGGCACAGCCTTCACGGCCCATAAAATGACACAGCCTTCACCACAGCTGGGGACGAAGTATCTCCATAAAACCCTCACGAGATAACCACCCTTTACCATGGCCAGAGGCAAGGTCACCCCATAAAAGGCCCCGTAAGACGACACAGCCTTCACCATGGCTGGGGACAAGGTGTCCCCCCAGACCCCCCGTTAGATGACACAACTTTGACTGCAGCTGGGGCCAGGGGTGTCCCTGTAAAGCCCCATGAGGTACCACTGCCTTCACCATGGCTGGAGACAACAGTCCACACACAACAGAACTTTCACAACAGGGCCATGCTCGCCAAAACCCTACAAAAACCCCACAGAACCTCCCCCCCCACACCTTGGGACACCCCTGCCTGTCCTCAAAACAAGACAGAAAAGTGAAACCTCCCCCTCAGATCTTGTCTGCTCTTCTTGCCAGGAGAAGGACAGCCATGAGCAGGCCTCAGGGCCTTGTGTAGTCCCAGCAAGGAAATGTGTGTGGGAGTGGCTGTTTTGGGGGACAAAAATGGCATTTAGGGGAAAGAGGTGTGGGGGAAATGCTGCTGATGCTGTGGCCACCAACCCCCTGGATGCACAGAGCTGGGGGTCGGCGGCCCTGGCATCAGCCATGGCGGCCTTAGTTTCTCCATGCATTGCTTTATCTCAGCTAAGAGCCTCAAAATAACCTCTTCTATACTCCAGTAAAATCACGCCGCCTCAGCCTCTTGCTAGAAGAAGGTGGGAGAAGTTCAGTGAGCCCCAAAATCCTTTACCTTGTGCTTTCGCAAGCAACCCAGCAGCGTCTCAGTGGGGTTAGAGGCTCCTCTCAAATTCAGCTGATCCAACCTCCCTGCTCATGGTGTCTTCATGGGTGGGGACTCCGCTGCCTCTCTGAGCAACCTGGTGCCAGCGCTTGCTTGGTCACCTTCACGGTGAAGAAGTGATTCTTGATGTTCAGAAGAACCTCCTGGGCTTCCGCTTGTGCCCATCACCTCCTGTCCTGGTGTCGGGCACCACTTAGAAGCTGGCTCCATCTTCACACCCTCCTCTCAGGCATTTACACCCCTTGATAAGATCTCCTTGAACCTCATCTTCTCCAGTCCCAGGTCTTGTGCCCTCTCTTCCTAGGGCACATGCTCCAGTCCCTGCCTCACCCTGGTGGCCCTTTGCTGGACATGCTCCAGTGTGCCTGTGTCTCTCTGGCACTGGGGAGCCCAGTGCTGGACACAGCACCCCATGAGTGAACCCCTCACCAGTGCTGAGGGGCAGGACCACCTCCCTCAACCTCCTCATGCAGCACTGCCAGCCCTCTTTGCTCCAAGGGTGGCTTGTGATCAACTTGGACCCCCTCAAGACCCTCATCACGGAGGCCCCCAGCTCATCCTGGTGCCTGAGGCTGCCCCTCCCCAGGGACAGGACTTTGCACTTCCCTTGGTTGAATAAAACGGACTCGGCGTCAGCTCTCAGCACCCAGCCCTGAGGAAGCAGACCTGCTTCCTGCAGGCCTTCCCAAACCTGCTGCTGGGAACTAGGCACAGCAGAGGGTGATGAGGACGGAGGTGACCATGGGTTGCAGCACCTGGAGCAGAGACCAGTCTGTCCCTCCTGCTCCACTTCCCAAGAGCTGTTACCTACTCCCAGTGCAGGATGAGGAGCCATCTCCAGCCCTGCACGTCTTAAATGAACCAGGACTCTCGGAGTGCTGGGCACAGCGCAGCCATGCCACCCCCCCACAGCTGGGAAGGAACAGACAACACACACGACTGGGGAAGCATCACCTTCTTTAATTAAAAATAAAAATACAAGACAAGCACGGCCTGACATGTGGATGCTGGAGGGCAGCTGCGGGCTGGGCAGAGGATGGGCTCCCCTCCGCCATGGACAGGCAAAGCCCCCTTCTTTGTGCCAAGCCTCCAAAACACGCAGCAACGTTGCACTGAGCCCAGGGAGCTGCTCCTCTGCCAGGAGCTCAGCTTCTGTCCAGGGCTGTGCAAATTCAAAAGGAACAATCCCAGAGGGACCTGCAAGAGCCCAGGGCTCTCCTCAGCCTCCTCTTCCTCACTAGCCACCGCTGCAGGTCTGGAAGCAGAGGTGGCACCAGCATGAAGAGGACAGTCCTTGTGACACCGTTCCAACAGCCCAGGCAGCGGCGCCGGCAGAGGGGAGCCGAGGGAGCCCTGGGAAAGGCACAGCGGGACGTGTAATTACAGACAGGAAATGTTTAAATTCAGCGTTTCTGTCCCAAGATCAAAGCCGAGGATTTTCCACCCAAACGTGATGTCCACAGGGTGCAGCCACCCAGCCCACCCTGCAGGGAGACCCCGTGCGCTGTCACGCTCGTCGCGCCTTCTTGCTTTTCTTTTTCTCCTCTTTGATGGCGCTGTCGTGGGCTTTCCTCTTCGCAGCGAGTTTGTTGGCCTGCGGAGAAACCGAGACCCAGCATCAGAGCGGTCTGCAGACACCCAGGGCTGCTCTACCCTGGGTCCCACCAAACCTTCCAGATGTGGGAGATGGACCCGTCTGCTGCTGGCATCTGTGCCCCGTGTGGGAGCACAAGGAGCTCTGCCCTGCCCAGGCTGGGAGACTGCAGCTCGGTGATACCAGGAAAGAGGCTTGTAGAGCCTCACCCCCCATCGCTCAACGCCCTCACCAGGACAGGACAGGGGCAGAGAGGAGCAGAAGGAGCAGAGCGGAGCTGGCACAGTCCACCAGAAGCAGAAGCTGCTCCCTCCCTTCCCCAGACCCAGCTTTAGCAGATCCCTAGGTGCAAGCTGATTTGGGAAGAGCCAGCACTAGGATCCAGGCAAGGGTCCTTGGCCCAGAGCAGTCCTGTGTTTGTACCTCTCGGACTTTGCGCTTCTTGCCAAACATGATCTTCTTGTAGAGGTATTTCTCCCTTTTCTTCATCATCATGATGGCCAGACGCTTCTCCTCGCTTTGCTGTTCCTGCTCCAGGCGCTGCTTGTCCTCCAGCCGCAGCTTGCCAGCGGTCACCTTCACGGGAAGTGCCTGCGGGGAGCCGGAGAGCTCAGGACCCTGGGTGCTGGGAGCCCACCACCCTTCCCCAGGGACAGACATTTCCACGCCATTCACTGGGGGCCACAGAAGAGCCCCAGCACCCTCCAGAGCGGGTCCTGAGCATGAATGTGAGCTGCAGCTCATGGACATGGGTCCAGGACCCAGAAGTGTAGTGTAGGAGCAGCGCAGACACAGCTGTCCCACAACAGGGACACGTCCAGGACGCCCTGCAGCGAACAGAGCCCCCCAGCAAGCACAGAGATCCCCAGTGCTGCCTCCTCCCAGGGCTCTCACTCCGCTGCCAGGAACCGTACCTTGTTGCTCTGAGTCTTCTGCTCTTCCATCTTCTTTAATTTCATCTCCTCTTCCTTTTCAGACTCATCTTCCTCCTCCTCCTCCTTCTCTTTATCATTGTCGTCCTCCTCTTCCTCCTCTTCATCCTCCTCCTCACTCTCTTCATCTACAGAGACACCACCGTTACCAACAGCACAGTGGCCAACTCCCAGAGCAGGTACAGCCCCGTGCCCTGCTCCTCAACAACTCCAACCTCGCAGCCTCACATCACCTGGATTCTCGCCCCGCTGCATGGCCAGCAGCTTCAGCTTCTCGGGTGGGACGTAGTCTCCTTCCTGCTCTGTCACAAAGGGCGAGAGGTGCGGAGGCAGCAGCACGCCTGGGAAGTAGTCGGCCACGGGGAGGCACAGCTTGGCATTGACGGAGTCGAAGACCCACTGAGGCTGCAGGTAATACCTGCGGGGCAGAGGGATGCGGGCTTGAACCCTGCCCTCCCACCTCAGAGCCCATGGGGCTGCAAGGGAGCAGAGTATGGGACACCATGGGACGGCCAGGGACACCTACTAGCCCAGGTGGCCACTCTGGGGACAAGCCACCTGCCTCACCCACCTGCCAACAACCTGGTGCTCCAGCCGGGGCCGATCAATGATGTGGTGGGTGATGGAGGGGTCACTCGCATCGTAGGTGGCACCAATGCACAGGGACTTGTCCCAGGAGACCTGGCCACCAAAGCACCTGACAGCAAAAACCCGCCAAGGGGTCAGGGAGGCAGGGGGAGCCCTGAGGGTCACCTTGCCCACGGGACGTAAAGCCTATTGGCCTCAAAAGTGCCGACAGAGAGGCTGGAGGAGGCCAGGAGGGGGTAGCAGGGCTGGCGAGGGACACCGTGCCCACCACGTACCGGATGATGAAAGCCAGTGGCTCCCGAGGCACCTCCCTGTTGAGGAAGAAGCGCAGGCCTTCAAACAGCTTCTTGTGCTTCTCCAGGGCCTCCTGCTCCTTCTTCCTTGCGTCCATCTGCTCCGCCGTCTCCTGCTCAGAGCAAAGCATTCAGCCTCCTCCCCACGAACAGCCCCTGCGGAGCCCCAGCTGCAAGTACAGCTCTGATGCTGTGCCCCTGCTCCTGTCAGCCCCTTCCAGGCCGCACCAGGCCCTGCCAGGCTTTGCCCAGCCACAGGATGGACTGCAGACAGGATCACCCAAAGCCAGGCCTGGGCTTCCCCGCCAGGCTCTCACCCCTTCCACCGGGAACTCATCCAGCTCCACGTCGTCCTCATGGGCCGGTGCCACCACGCGGGCCAGGCTGGCGCTCAGAGCCGACAGTTTCTGCAGTGGGAGAAGACCAAGGTGTCATGCCCAGACAGTGCTGTGGGGATGGGAGAAGGGGCAGCCTCACAGAGGGAGGAGAAGGCAATTTCTCAGAGAGATCAAAAGACCTCCTCGCGGGACAACGCACGAGGCTTTGAAGGGTCCCCTGCCATGCAGAAGGTTGGCCAGTGGCCCCCAAGGCCACCACACCTCCTTCCCTTGGCTGGCCTACGGGGGCAAGGAGTTTGGAATCAGCCCTCCACCACGCAGGGATCAGGCTCTGCTCCTCAGCCTCTGAGCGTCCCACACCAGAAGGGGTCTGTGGTTGGGATACCAAGGCCACGCAGGGTCCTCCTACGGACCATGGTAACAGCAGCATCCCTCACCTCCAGGTAGCTCTCCGAATCCATGGCGTACTCCTTGCCCTCTGCGGGCTTCAGCTCAGCGTCAGCCTGACCATCAATCTGGGGAGAAACAGAAAGGTGGGGAGGCAGCTCCTAAACCCAGAGCCTGCAAACATCCCCTCCTCCCA